TCTGTCTCAAAAAAAAAAAAAAAAAAAAAGAAAATACAGAATGACATTAGCTGTTACCATAATCCTAAAACAATTATTTTAGCTGTTAGCTAAAATTTTAGGAAATACAGAATGGAGTTAGCTGTTACCATAATCCCAGAATCCTAAAACAATTATTTTACTTTAAAGATGAGGAAACTGAAACTAAAAGATGTTAGTAAATTATCTAAAGGAGGCTCACACCTGTAATCCCAGCACTCTGGGAGGCTGAGATGGATGGATCACCTGAGCTCACAAGTTCAAGACCATCCTGAGCAAGAGTGAGACCCTGTCTCTAAAAATAGCCAGGCATTGGCTCAGCACCTGTGGCTCAAGTGGCTAAGGCGCCAGCCACAAACACCTGAGTTGGTGGGTTCAAATCCAGCCTGGCCCACCAAACAACAATGATAGCTGCAACAAACAAACAAAAAAAAAAGACAACCAGGCCTTGTGGCGGGCACCTGTAGTCCCAGCTACTTGGGAGGCGGAGGCAGGAGAATCGCTTGAGCCCAGGAGCTGGAGGTTGCTGTGAGCTGTGATGCTATGGCACCCTACCCAGGGTGACAGCTTGAGGCTCTGCTTCAAAAAAAAAAAAAAAGAAAAGAAAAAGAAAAAAAAGAACTAAAACTCCTGCCCCATTCATTTAAGATAACCAAAGCCTCTTCTCAGGGTGCTTGAGTTTTTCTGATAGGATAAAATCTTCCCAGCCGGGTGTGGTGGCTCAAGCCTGTAATCCTAGCATGCTGGGAGGCTGAGGTGAGTGGACTGCTTGAGCTCATGAGTTTGAGATCAGACTAAGCAAAAGCAAGACCCCATCTCTAATAAAATAGAAAAACCGAGGCAAGAGAATCGCTTGACCCCAAGAGTTGGAGGTTGTAGTGAGCTATGATGCCACAACACTCTACCTAGGGCAACAGCTTAAGACTCTGTCTCAAAAAAACAAAATCTTCCTATTTCTTTCTTTTTCCCCTTTATTTCCATTTTGCCAAAGCCAACATGAAAAATCTAATCAGGTCATGCCCCATGAAAACACAGGCCTTGGCTCGGTGCCTGTGGCTCAAGTGGCTAAGGTACCAGCCACATACACCTGAGATGGTGGTTTCAAATCCAGTGCAGGCCTGCCAAACAACAATGACAGCTGCAACCAAAAAATAGCCGGGTGTTGTGGCAGGTGCCTGTAGTCCCAGCTACTTGGGAGACAGAGGCAGGAGAACTGCTTCAGCCCAGGAGTTGGAGGTTGCTGTGAGCTGTGATGCCACAGCACTCTACCCAGGGTGACAGCTTGAGGCACTGTCTCAAAAAAAAAAAAAAAAGAAGAAAAGAAAAGAAAAGAAAATACAGGCCTTAGAAATACTCTGAAGCTTTTTCTCTTAGTGAACTAAATTAAAAACTTCATTCTCATTAGTACTTGATGTGAGTTCTAATAGACAACCAGCTAAACAACAACTTTGATTGTTTTTGCCAATTTATCATTCTGAAGTAGGAGATTCCTAATAGTACCCTATGCCACCACTACTCAGCTTGATCCACATATTTTCTGACAGACAATTTCTTTTTTTTAATTAGACAGTTTCACTCTGTCACCCTGGGTAAAGTGCTGTGGCGTTGTAACTCACAGCAATCTCAAACTCTAGGGCTTGAGAGATCCTCTTGCCTCAGCCTCACGAGTAGGTGGGACCATATGGGTACCCTCCACAACATATGGCTAATTTTTCTGTTTTTCTGTCCACCATAAAAGGGTATGAATCCCCATAGGTGCTAAATCAACATGTTACAGTTGCAGCTCCACAGAAGATTCAGATTTGACTCTCTTGGTCCTAATCCTGAAATCCAGGAAAAGAGGATCTGGCCAGTTTGAGCTAGGTGAACACCTGTTAGTCCAAATGGCTGTGGCTACAATACAACAATCTGTGTAGCCATAGACAGATCAATAAGTCAGTGGACAATTCCCCCAAAAGAGGCCACGTAGATAGATAAAAGAGATGATCTTATCACATCTATAAACCTGTGCAACTAAAAAATCCAAAGGAAGAAAATGCCTCCATTATGAACATTCAACTGTACAGGCTGACCATATAGCTGGGAACACTTTACACATTCAGTACATATTTATTGAGAGCCTAATATGTGTCAAATATGGTGTTAGACTTTGGCAAATCAGCAGCATATTAGAACAGATACTCCCTTTACTGATAATTTATCTCTCTAGCAGATACTATAAAAATATTGAACACCAATTATAGTATGTACTAAGTTATTATAACCAGGGACCATCAGGATGCTATTAGAGTTAACTAAAAGGTGAATTTTAGCTAGACTTGGGACATCAGGAAAAGCTTCTCAGAGATAAGTTACGTGTAAGGTAGGGCCTTAAAGATATATATTAATTACAAGGAAGAAAAGAAGAAAAGATTTCAAATAAAGGTAATAAAATTCTTTTCAGAAGTTGAAAGAAGGGTGGCATCTGTGGCTCAAAGGAGTAGGGCACTGACCCACATACTGGAGGTGGCAGGTTCAAACCTGGCCTCGGCCAAAAACTGAAAAAAAAAAAAAGAATACAAAAGTTGAAAGAAGAAAGTGACCCACTAGAGAAAGTGAATGTTTGATATACCTAGAACTTTTTGTTGAATAGGAAAGGCAGGGTGGTAGGAGACCCACTTGGGAAGATAGGCAGGGGCCAAACTGTAGAGTAACTTACAGGACATCTGGACTTTATTTTTCTTATTATTACCTTTTAAATCAATCTCATAACACATTTGGACTTTATTTTAAAGCAGCTAACCAGACTGAGTGCTGTGAGCTCAGGAAGTAGAGACCAGCCTGAGCAACAGCAAGACCCCATCTCTAAAAATATCCTAGCTTTGTGGCTCCTGCCTGTAGTCCCATCTACTAGGGAGGCTGAGGCAAGAGAATCACTTGAGCCCAAGAGTTTGAGGTTGCTGTGAGCTGTGACACCACCACACTCTACTGAGAGCGACAAAGTAACACTCTCTCAAAATAAATAAATAAAGTAGCAAACCAATAGGGGGAGGGGTCAAGAACGTGTGTAACCATTCCTGACCCCACTCCACCTCCCATTTGGTTAGAGCTGAAACTGGGGCGAGAGATTGAAATAACAAGAATGGAAATGCACTTAAAAAATATTAATATGTATTATTCCAGTTGGCCTGCGTTAAATAAACAAACAATACAGGAAACAAGCAGAATTCCAAGTCGCCAACACTCAATAGAGGACTGTGCCTCATCCATCTGTTTCAAACTTCTTCACATTAATTCCAGTCAAAAATGACATTTCAGGGCGGGCGCGGTGGCTCACGCCTGTTATCCTAGCACTCTGGGAGGCGGGAGGCAGGGGGCAGGCGAAGAATCACCTGAGCTCAGAAGTTTGAGACCAGCCTGAGCAAGTGCGAGACCCCCCGTCTCTAAAAAACAGCCGGACGTTGTGGCGGGCGCCTGTAGCCCCAGCTACTCGGGAGGCTGAGGCAAGAGAATCGCTTGAATCCAAGAGTCTAAAGTTCTTGTGACCTGTGAGGCCACGGCACTCTACCGAGGGCGACAAAGTGAGACTTTGTCTCACAAATAAAAAAAAAAAAAATTACATTTCAGATTTTTCCTCCCCGGACGCTAAATCATGCTCGAACAGATTTGGTTATCTCTGGTAATCTTTGCTGGGGCGCAACTCCCCCAGGTGCACCAACGCAAAGCCTTTTTTGCCTCAAGTCCACCGCCTCCTCGCTCGCCCGCCCGCTGGCTCGCCCCCACCCCCGGCTCGCCGCCCAGCCCCGCTGGACCCCCGGCTCCGGCTCGCCCCCCACCCCCGCTCGACCCCCAACCCCGGCTCCGGCTCATCCCACCCCGGCTCGCCTCCCCGCTTACCAGTTCTCTGGCTCACTGGCGGTCTCGGGGCGGCTTTCTAAGGCGCTCTCATCCACCGGCGGCTCGAAGTAGGAGTTCAGCGCTCTCTGGAAAGCAAAGCGACAGGGATGAGGCTGGCGCGCTCCACTCACCTCAAGGAGGGAGCCGGAAGTGAGGGATAGCGACCGCGTACTTCCATCTCCCAGTCGTTCTCGGCCAGGTAGCACTGAGCAACGGCGGCGTCGCAACTCGCGACCGCGGCAAACTCCGCACACAATAAACGCCGCTTCTTCACTTCGGGCTCATCAGTTTCGTCCGCCGCTCTCGCCCCGCCCTCCGGCCCCTTCCCTTCCTCCATCAGCTCCCAGCCTTCTCACCGCCCGCTGATGTGAGACCTGCTGCCGACGCCCAGCACTGCGCAGGCGCACACTTTTCGGGTGGGCGTGAAACGCGCGTGCGCGCTCGGTCGTACGTGAGCGCGGACCGTCTGTGCGCCAGCTGCGACAGGCGGTGGCGGCGGGCGTGAGCTACGCCGGGTCTCGGGAGTGCTGTGAGGCAGAGAGGACTTCAGGCTCTTTGACCTCTGTGCCCTTGTACTTTTGGGAGCTTCTGGGCTTTTGGCTCCTCCAAAGTTCTTTTCTGCGCAGATCCCCAAAGTCGTCCACGATGAGCGGCATGACACAGAAACTGCGGGAGATAGTCAAGTCCTTCGCTAGTGTTCGCGGTTTTGATAGAGTTGTGGAAAAGGTATTGGAGGCAAAGCTGCGGCTGGTAATGAAGGGAGAGTAAGCATCGTGCTTGGTGCACGGTGAGCGCCGAATAAATTTGTCTAAGTTTCTGTTCGAGTGCTCCTGTAAATTCATCCTAGTAAGAATGATTACTAATTTAATGGAGCGCCTGTTACAAGCTAGGAACGCGTAGGTTCTCTTATTGAAGCATAGGTAAGTATCAGTTCTAGAGCGCCTGCAGTGCCCCAAAGGAACAAAAAGTAATAAGCAGCTTCTATATTTAAGGCAAACTACAATTTAGGATTAGAAGATAAATAATTGCAGTAAAGTACGAAAGCCAAGTGCTAGGTAAAGGGAAGGGAAGAGTTGTTCTGTAGTGGTTTGGGAGATTTCACGAAGGCATTCAACTCTGAAGAGGTGACTTAGCCGGTTGAGGAAGATGGAATGTATTTCAGAAACCAGTTCTGGAAGGAAGGCCTAGGGCTGTTTTAAGAGGTTCATTTGGGAGAACAGCAACATGAAGTACCAGAGAGTTAGGCAGAGCCAATTCCTGCCTCCTTCCACTGGAACAAAGAAGCCCAGACTCCCAGTGTTCAGTCTTGTCAGAACATCTAGTTCCTTAGGAAACATTTGTAAATAAGCATGAACAAAAGCGCTTGTCAGATTTGGAAGACAGTTAATAACCTAAGAACTTTTAGGGCTTTTTCAAAATGTTTTAATGCATGCATGTCTGTTACTTTTATTTAAGGTAGAATACTGGGAAATTGTGAAGTGTATTTTAACACAGATCACCTGCAGTCGTTTTTTTGTTTGTTTTTTTGAGACAGGAGTCTCAACCTGTCGTCCTGGGTAGAGTGCTGTGGCATCACAGCTCACAGCAACGTCCAACTCCTGGGTTTAAGCGATTCTCTTGCCTCAGCCTCGCAAGTAGCTGGGACTACAGGCGCCCGCCACAACGCCCGGCTACTTTTTGGTTGTAGTTGTCATTGTTTGGCAGGCCTGGGCTGGATTCAAACCCGGCAGCTGTGGTGTTTGTGGCTGGCGCCTTAGCCGCTTGAGCTACAGGTGCCACTCCTGGCTTTTTTGGTTGTAGTTGTCATTGTTGCTTGGTAGGCCCGGGCTGGGCTAGAACTCTCCAGCTCCGGTATGTGGGGCTGGCACCCTTGCTGCTGAGCTATGGGCACTAAGCCTGCACTCATTTTTTTTTAGGTCTCCCTCCCTAAACACAGCCCTCAGACTCTACTTTAATATTGTAAATAAAACTCTCAGATTTTTTTGTGAAGAACAGGAAATAATACTTAGACAAATATATTTAATATTTCCAAATAGCAAACTCTATAAAATCCAAGGAAATTATTACTTCTCAGTAACTTTTTGAAGATAGATGATCCAAAAACGAGTGTCTTGGTCTAAGGCAATGGTTCTCAACCTTCCTCATGCTGGGACCCTTTAATACAGTTCTAGTTCCCTTTGATACAGTTCCCTTTAATACAGTTCCGAGACCCACAGGTTAAGAACCGCTGGTCTAAGGGGAAATTTGAATTCCTTAAGAAATCTGCCATTTTCCTTGTTAATCTTTCAGCAATCTGAGTTTGTACCTTCTTGTGATAATTTTGCTGTGAGTTGTATTGTCTTTGAGTATTTAGTTAAAATCCTCATACCTTGAACAGACATGCTGGAATAAAGTGCATCCTTGCCTGAGTTGGCAGTGGTGGTAACTTGCCTTCCTAGAAGATTGATAATGCCTGGTGAACCAAATGTGTAGAGCTTCTCAGAAGTGGCAATAAGATTGAATAGTGGTATGCACTGCGTCTAGACTAGCACTATCCAATGCAAGCTACAAATATGAGCCACATGTGTAGTGATAATAGCCACATTTTTTAAAGTAAAAAGAAATATATGAAATTAATTTTGATAATATAAATAACTTTATATATCTAAGATATTATTTTAACATGTCATCATTGTCAAAAAATATTACAGTTTTTTCATACTTAATCTTTGAAATCCAGCATGAATTTTACACTTTCAATTCAGACTAGCCACATTGAAAGTGCTCAGTACTGACATAAGGCTAGTGGCTGTTGAATTGAAGAGGCTGATACCATAGTAGGTGCTCTGTGTTTGCTAATTTAAACAGAAGTTTTGTGGTTATGTTTTATGTGGACACCATTGCTAGGCTAAAGTATATGAGTATGTATAGGGAATCTAGATATGTACATAGCCCCTTACCCTTTTTTTTTTTTTTGAGACAGAGCCTCAAGCTGTCACCCTGGGTAGAATGCCATAGCATCACAGCTCACAGCAACCTCAAACTCCTGGGCTCAAGCGAGTCTCCTGCCTCAGCCTCTCAAGTAGCTGGGACCACAGGTGTCCGCCACAATGCCCAGCTATTTTTTGGTTGCATCCGTCATTGTTGTTTGGCAGGCCTGGGCTGGATTCAAACCCGCCACTGTAGGTGTATGTGCTACGCCTTAGCCACTTGAGCCACAGGCGCCAAGCCAGCCCCTTACCTTTTACTGTAAATTTTAAGGTAACATGACCTAGAGAAGTGGTTCTCTATTGGGGGTGATTTTATTCCCCAGAGGACATTGGCAATTTCTGGAGACTATTTTTATTAATTCATTCATTTTTGAGACAGAGTCTTACTCTGTTGCCACAGGCTATAGTGCCATGGTGTCATATCTCACAGCAACCTCAAACTCTGGGATTTGAGGAGTCCTCTTTCCTCAGCCTCTGGAATACCTTGGGACTAAGGGTGCCCACCACAATGCCCACTAATTTTTCTAATTTCCTAGTATAGATGGGGTCTTGCTTTAGCTTGGGCTGGTCTAGAACCCCTGACCTCCATCAGTCCACCTACCTTGGCCTCCCAGAGTTCAAGGATTAGGGATGTGAGCTACCATGCCCAGGTGAGACTTTTTTTTTTTTTTTGAGACAGTGTCTCTATTACTCTGCCACCCAGGCTAGAGTTCAGTGGAGTCATTATAACTCACTGCAACCTCAAACTCCTAGGCCCAAGTGAGCCTCCTGCCTCAGCCATTTGAGTTGCTGAGACTATAGGCACACACACCATACCCAGCTCATTTTTCTGTTTTTTGTAGAGATAGTCTTGCTCTAGCTCAGGCTGGTCTTAAACTCCTGGCGTCAAGTGATCCTCTTGCTTCAGCCTCCCAAAGTGCTAGGATTACAGGCATGAGCTGTCACACCCAGCCTGGAGACATCTTTAATCATCACAACTTTGATGAAATGGGAGGGATGCTACTGGTATCTACTGGAGAGAGGCTGGGGATACTGATAAATATACTGTCATGCACAGATCTATTTCCTGTGCCCTCACAACAAAGAATTATCAAGTCCAAATACCAGCATGCTGAGATTGAGGAATTTTGACCTAAACCAAAGGTTAACAGTCAAAACAAAAGTCCTGTTCTTGCTGTAAAGATCACTTTAAAGTTAATGAACAAACTAAGTACTGTGGGATTATAAAGAAATACTAACCACAGTTCTTGCTCTCTAGGAATTGATATCTGAAAAAGAAAAAATTATGTTCCAAGAAAGAGTCCCATCAGATGTGCTATGAGAACCTTGATTTTTGTATTCTTTTAAAAGATTTTGGTAAAATACACATAAAATTTACTATCTTAACCATTTGTTTAATGTATAGTCACCACTATCCATCTCCAGAACTCATTTCATCTTGCCAAACTAGAACTCTGTACCCATTAAACATTAACTCCCACATTCCTCTTTCCCCTAGCTCTGGCAATCACCATACTACTTTGTCTCTACGAGCGGACTACTCTAGGTATCTCCTCTAAGTGGACATGTTGTGTTCCTTTTGCATATTAAAACTTTACAGTAGGGCAGCGCCTGTGACTCAGAGAGTAGGGCCCCAGCCCCATATACTGAGGGCGGTGGGTTCTAACCCAGCCCCGCCCAAACTGCAACAACAACAAAAAATAGCCGGGCATTGTGGCGGGCACCTGTAGTCCCAGCTACTCGGGAGGTTGAGGCCAGATAATTACCTAAGCCCAAGAGCTAGAGGTTGCTGTGAGCTGTGACACTATAGCACTCTACCAAGGGCAACAAAGTGAGACTCTGTCTCTTAAAAAAAAAAAAAGTAAAATTTTCAAGTAGTTCTACAATGTAAATATGTTTAACTTATGTTAGCTGTTTGCCAGTGGAACTTTTCCCCACAGTAACACACGTGGAGGAACATACGTAGGGAATCTCAAGTGACAGGCACTGTGCTAGGAACTGGAAATACCATGTAAAATCTAATACAGAAATAAGGGAGTAGAGTTCAGAAGCAAAGTAAAATTGTGTAGTCTTACGGAAATGAGAGATGAAGATATCTAAGTGAATAAGATGTCTCAAGAGAGACAGATTAGGGTGGTACCTGTGGCTCAGTGAGTAGGGCGCTGGCCCCATATACTCAAGGTGGAGGGTTCAAACCTGGCTCCAGCCAAATGGCAACAAAAAAATAGCCAGGCATTGTGGCGGGTGCCTGTCGTCCCAGCTACTCCGGAGGCTGAGGCAAGAGAATTGCCTAAGCCCAAGAGCTGGAGTTTGCTGTGAACTGTGACGCCACAGCATTCTACCGACAAAGTGAGACTCTGTCTCTGAAAAAAAAAGAGAGAGAGAAAGAGATAGATTAGAGAGGAGAGATAAGTACTTAGGACTGAACCTTGAGGACAAGCCAGATGGAGAGAAAGAAATCCTGTAAAGAACACAGAAATGTTTAGAAAGGGAAGAATAGATCTTATACTTACTAGAAGTACTTTGAGATTTTGGATTGACCACAAAAGGGCAGTGATAATAGTATAAAAATTATCAACATTGTATGCTGACAGATATTTTTAAATTCATTCTTGGTTCTTAAAATAGTATAATTAGAATAAATGTATAATAAAATAATAAAGTAAGATTTTCTCAAAGGTTTATATACAAAAATATTCATTGCAGCATGTTTGTCATATCAGAAATGGGAAGTAACCTAAGTGTACAACCATAAAG